GGCTGACAGCAGGCCCTGGGGCGCGGAGACGCGGGTCGGTGTCGCTGCACGCCCGGCTCAAGCGCGTTGTAGAGGGTGAGAGTAACTGCGAATTCACTCTTCAGTGAACTGACTTGGCAGCGAGGTCGGCTTCCGCCTGTCTCTGTGGCGCAATCGGTTAGCGCGTTCGGCTGTTAACCGAAAGGTTGGTGGTTCGAGCCCACCCAGGGACGAGGGCTACCGTTTTGTGAACTCCAGACTGCTGTCGTCGCCCTCTGTATCGAGATGGAAAGAACCTTCTGTAGCCCTGGCCGCCGACCTCCGCCTGTGCGGTTTCCGGTTCCCTCCTCAGCCTGCAGAGCTCAGGCTGCGTGCGAGGTGGTCGGCGGGCGTGGGCAGTTTGTGATTAGTAATACAAATTTTAGGTGCTCAGCAGTTCGGATTGAAGTGAGAATTGATATTTACACGCCAGAGGAAGTAAGTTTTAATATTCCAAAGATGAATTCTTTGATCTTTCCCAACAAAACTATGTCTGTCTTGCCTTTGTCTTTTCTAATTCCTGAGTCAGGGGCCATTCTGAAGCCTGGTCCTCTCCCAGTTCCCGGAGAGTCTGCCTCCCGAGCGTCTTCTGATGAGGCACCTTCCTCTCCAGCCTGGCTGCGGCTGCCTGCCCCTTCTGCCCCTTCCTTCCCCTGAGTGGCAGCAACGACTTCCCAGCTGCCCCGCTGCTTTCCTGGCTTCAACTCTGGTCTCACAAGTCCTTGTCCCTCTATCTTGCAAGGAACTGCCAGGGTCCTAACAACACTCTGGAGACCTGCTCAAAGCCCCAGTGGCTTGCAGGCCTGGTTCAAGCTTGCCGCTTAGAAGGCAGTGCCTTTCACGAGCTGCCCCGCCTCCTCCTCTCCTAGCTGACTGGAGCCGCCAGCAGGAGCAGACTGCCCTGTGGCACTGACTCTGGCTCTTGAGTCTTTGCTCACAGACCTGTGACTTTTCTCCTCTGCTCTGCTTGGCAAACTCCTGCTGGACAGAGCCAGAGATGAAGCCTCTTCTCTGCAGCGCTTTCTCACTCTCCCCATAGCTGTCTTTCTCATTGCCATGAAAAATCTTCCGAGGAATGACTCTGTGCTGTTCCTCTGGTTTCTCCAGCCCCTGAATGAGCTTGGCACATTGAAGGTGCTAAGTAAAACTGAGTCGAATGTCCAGGGTTTCCCACTGGACTCGTCTTGTGTCCGAACCTCCCCTGCTAGTCACACTCCCTCTGAACCGTCTTGGTTTACAGCTCCTAGCTCAGCAACTAGGCTGACTGCTCAGGCCCCACTCCTGCCTACCTGTGCCTGCTCTGACCTGGCCCCTGCCCCTACAATACCGGCCTCTCCCATACCACTGGTAAAGACCTCCCGCCCCTGGTGGTCCGCCCCCATCCGCTCCTTCCTGTGTACTGCCGTTGGCTCTTTCCTGCAATTTCTCAGTTCAGATGTGGAGACACCTCTGCTCACTGAGCTTAGCCGGGGCGGTGAGGCAAGGTTCATTTGTCCACCAAAACAACAGAGTCTCCAAAGATAATGAGCTTCCCTGGGAGGGGTGAGGAGGGTCACATCTGGACCACAGGAGGTCCGAGAGGGTCAAAGGCAAGGGGAGGCTTTAAAAGTTAAAGAAGGAAATCCACGTGACCTATTAGGTCGTCAAGAAAGTCGTGATGTATTACTCCATGCAAAAATGCCTCACGACTTTCCCGACAGCCCAATATTTTGAATCAAAGAGAACACTGGCTCCAGGGATGTGCTGCTGGTGTGGACGCCAGTCCATTATAAGGGACGACGTGTCAGGCAGGTGTTCTTGTGCATCTAGCTAGCTGTCCTTGTGACTTGGGTTCCAACCTGCACTTTAGCCTGTGACAATGCCAGAGTCCCCACTGGGCCACACGCCTACCTCCACCACCAGTACCAGCACTGCCACTACCACTGGCTCTAGGTGGGGCTGAGCAGGAGCAGAAGTGGGGGGAGCAGGGTGGAGGGGTAGTGAGGTGTAATTGGGAAGAGGTAGAGGGGGACAGGAGGGGCCAGGGCACAGTGACGTGGGGAGAGGGGAGAGACCCTTGGGTCCTGTATCTGAATCTCTGAGCACTTGACATTCTGAATTAAAGTTTACAGGAGCGTTGATTCTCCATGTTGCTTGCTCTGTGGGTTTGGAAAAACATATAGTGTTGCGTGTCCATCCCTGCAGTTACATAGAGGGCTTTCTCTTTTTTTGGAGAGGTTTTTGCTATTGGGTGAGTGCACTCGCCAGAAAGACAGAGAGACAGAAAGCGAGAAATCACCCCCCAGGGGGGAAGGCCACGCCGCAATATCTTCTCCTCCAGTCTCCTCTTGGGACCTTGGGTACGCACACACATGCACCCAGCGTGAGTTTTTTTTTTTTTTTTTTTAAGAGGTTTTTCTCTTAAGCCGCGGGTAGC